AAAGAAGGTTTACTCAATCGTGTGGAGAAACGCATGTGCTAGGATCTTTGCTGCCAGTTTTTCATTATATAAGGTTTACTCAATCATGTGGTGACACAGGTAAGTGCTAGGTTAGCATTAGCATCTCTGCTCTTGGTTTTGATGTCACTTGTTGATAGCTAGGCTTTTAGCATCATTATAGAAGGTTTACTCAAACATGTGTGGAGAAATGCATGTAAGTGCTAGGTTAGCATTAGCATGTTTGCTCTCAGCAATGCACCATCATTTAACCTGCAGAGAAACAGGTTCCTGGCTAGAATCAGCATTTTTGCTCTCTGTTTTGGGTGTTCTATTGATAATTCTCCTCTGAACATCTCTGATACAGTTTGCGTTTTTTTTGTAACACCATAAAGTTTAATTAGCTGCATTCCACACAATTCTCTTGCGTCAACCGTGGAAATCTAAACCGCCAAATCTGAGCAAACTTAGCGACTCTGCTTATTAAAGGACAAGCCCACAGTTGTTAGATTAATAAGCAACTATTGCTTAAAACTATAGTTGGTAATGTTGCAGATCTAGCAAGTTTGCAGCAGTCAAAAATGTCTGATTTTTATTTATTTTTTCTGTTCCTTTTTCTGACTACATAAGGTTGGAAGAACCATTTTACCCAATATAACAAAAAGTTTTTCTGAACAGAATGATTTAATTTGATTAATTTGTCAGGGTTGGGTTGAAAATAACAAATACAGAGGAAGACGAGGAACCAGCCCTGAGGAACTTCACAGGGAGAGTATATATAGGAGACAGAACAAAGACTGGACTGATGAGCTGATTGGGAAGCAGGCGTGGATGGAAGCATCTAGAAGGAAGCCAAGAGGAAAGGAAACAAACACAAGGGGGCAACAGAGAGTAACTCAAGAACAAAACACTGCTTGAAAAAAGCTACAGATACAAAGAAACTAAAAATAAACTTAAACAGAGGGCCGGACCCTGACATAATTTAAGATTAATTTTAGAAGTGATCTAAAGGGATGCTTCAAACTGATCTTTTTTTTTAAGAACTATTCCTTATCAAAGTAATTTTTGTAAGATTAGAAAGTGACTTTGGTGTCCGAGTTCCTTTCTAGCTGTATGGAGCATAGAACATTGCAGCACAGCCCCTTCCCCACCTGTTGCTGCATAGTGAAATGGCGGAAAGATGGCTTCTGTTCTCTTTTCTCCCTTACTTAAAGAGACTAAGAAATTGAATTGCATCAAAGTTTTATAAAAACAAAATGTTAAAATGTAGGTTTTTGTAGTTATTTTGCATTTTGGTCTTTCTGTGTTTATTTGCTGCTCTGTTGAATATAGCTGAGATATTACAGATTTAGTAGAAGCAGACCAACAGATGGAACCAAAACGATTGTCATAGGTGGTGTTTAGGTGGATGGCGAAGCAGCAACAGCAGCTTCTCCCCTTTCCTGCCCTGTGATGAGTCCAGGTGATGATTTTCGAAATGTAAACAATAGTTTCTCTTTGTTTTGTTTCCTCTTTTAACGGTTTTTAAGGCGTCTAACTTCTCAGGCTGCTGTTGAGCTGTAAAGTGGGGCGTCTGTGTTTCACTGCTGCTCAGATCCTTTCTCTGATGAACCCGATCCGGCTCGGGTTTCCTGGGAGCAAACGGCAGCTTCTCCTCCTCTTGTAGGAAATGTGTAACCGAGCAGCTGCTTCCCTGGACAGTAGCTGCGCTTCACATAAAAGACACATTTGCATTTTCATTGTTGGGGAGCTTGTTTGGATGCAGCGCAGCATTGAGCTGAGGGGGAGAGGGGGGATTTAAGCAACCGTAAAAGCTCATATGAACCTAATGAAGGATGCATCATGCAGATTTTTACATTTTCATGTATATTATGTTAAAGTATGAACTCAACAGATTTCCGTGCCAGTGCAGGCACTGAAATGCACACAGGTGTTTTATTCCACAAAGAAATCAGAGCTGCCTGGAATATTGTTAGAAAGTTGGACAGAGGGCGTCTCCTGGTCTTTAGTGCCCTGCAGCCAGTGGAAAGCTCTGTTGACTGGGAGACGGCCAGTATAGATGTTGCTCTTTAAGTGGGAGTTTGGCAGCGAAGGGAAAATACCTCCCTGCATTCCTCTCTGAAAAGAATGCGGCGTCCTCTCTGGTTGCCCAGCAGAGTCAAAGTTGAAACTAGGACAGGTAAACCTGGCAGATATAATCTGTCCTCCAAAGCATACGGAGACGTTACATTCTGGATATCTCTGATCTAAACAGGTAGGTGGGACGAGACGAATAGACGTTTGTAGGAGCAGATTTATTGTACCATACCTTTAACTTGAGTGACATTCTTGTGACGTATTGTTGCTCAAATCCGAGTAAAATTTCTGGTTATCCTGGAAACTGGGAGGTGAAAATTAGTGCTGCGTCAATGCCATTTTTTGGCCCCGACAGCGATACCTGATATCGGCTTTGCAGTATTGGCCGATACTGATACCATCCGTTTGAAATTGATGTGTGTATATATGAAGGACTGCATCCTACTTGGATGTAAAATAATTGCCGTCATGGCTTTCTCAAGCTGCTGCCTACCTTTGTGAATCCAGTAGAACTTTTTATTGCCTTCCTGGAATGGGTGACAATAGTTGAAGAAACTTTTGGCTCTCAAAAGGGTATCGGTGCCCTCTTTGTTGGTACTCGCCAATGCCGATACCACCATTATAGTGCTGGATCGGTGCAACACCAATGAAAATACAGTAAAGGATAGAAAGAGTGGAGGTTCTCTGTTCTAACTAGGGCTGATGATTTTGCCAAAAATCTAAATTGCATTTACTTTCAACCAAAATTTATATTTATTTTTTCCTTTACACTAAGCGTAAGCATGTTTCCATCAAGGGTTTCAGTTAATTGATGACATTAGCCCCATTTCAAAAAAGAAAATTAAAAACAATCCACTGGACGTTGTTTCCAAGTTTGAAGACGTTTCTCCTCCCATCCAGGAAAGTTTATTTTGCATGAATTGACGTAGATAATGTGATTTATTTGTATTTGTTTCCTATTTTAATCTTTAAAAATATTAAAACTTGCAGAAAACATTCACCTAAACATAAAATCCTGTTGGCTTAGCAGTTTTTTCTCTTTGTTTGTTTTTTAACCAGGCTCTTTTTTATTTCTACCTCAGTAATAGTTTTTTAATGTCTAATTTTTAAAGTTACTTGGGTAAAAAATTTTTTTGAAGTAATGCTACTATTAGTTTTTGGGAACCTGCCTCTGAGTTAATAAGATATTAAATTAGATGTTGCAACATTGGGGTAAACTTGTGAATATCAAGATCAAATCTAATTTTAAGAGTGAGATGTTGATATAAAACATGTTGGAAGCACATTTACACAGCAAAAACCTGAAATCTAAATAAGTAATTATTTCTTAAATTAAATGCAGTTTTTGTTAAATTGAGGAGGTAAGTGAGACACTTGCCTTAAGAGGGTTTATTTTTAATAAACAAGGGAATCGGAGGGAATAATATTAAAAGGGCTGTTTTTATTTATTAAGAAACAATTTGATGCCCTCTGTGAATCTTAAATTACTGATGAAATACTTATAGCTAAATAGTTAAAAAGTATTTTTGTTTCTGGATAGTGGAACCAAGTTGGTTCTCTGTTGTACACTCTATAAAATTAAATCTATATAGGTCATTTTTTCTTAAAATAAGTACATTTTTTCTTGAATTAAGGAGGTAAATGAGACACTGCCAATGGAACAAGACAATTTACATTAAAAATAAGAAAAACGAATTGCAATATTTCAAGTGTTGTTGCACCGATACCGATGCCATTATTGGGCGGGGCCCCAATCCAGCTCTAAAATGGTGGCATCGGTATCAGCGAGTACCAACCAATAGGGCACCGATACCATTTTGAGAGCCAAAGTTTCTTCAACTATTGTCACCCATTCCAGGTAGGCAATAAAAAGTTCTACTGGATTCACTTTTAAGAGTAAAAATACTAATTTTATTGGCAAATCATCTTATTTACCTACTCAAATTAAGGGTAAATACCCTTAAAATAAGAAATCTTTCCTTATTTCTAGATCATTTTGGCAGTGTAAATTATTTATTTTACCCACACTGGAAAAAAAGATCTAGAAATAAGTAAAAAATGTCTTAAATTAAGTGTATTCACCCTTAATTTGAGTAGGTAAATGAGATAGTTTGCCAATGAAATTAGGATTTTTACTCTTAGAATAAGATAATTAGATATTATACACTTGAAATAAGACAATTAATTTTCTTTTGTTCTTATTTTAAATGTAATTTGTCTTGTTCCATTGGTAAAATGTCACACCTTCTCAATTCAAGAAAAAATGAACTTATTACAGGAAAAAATTAATTATCTGGATGTAATTTCTTTGCACTGGAAACCTGAAATAAACCAGTTTCTATTGATTTAACCCAGAAGTTTTCCCCTCCGGACAATAAGATCCAAACCTGAAAGTCAAATAACAGTTTGAAGGATTTGTTTCTAATGGTCTAACTGTGTTTGTACATTTAATCCTCCTCATTTTAAACATACATGTTGAACTGTTCGTCCCAACATGTCTTCCTCCTCTCTCTCTCTCTCCGCCTTCTGACCGCTGCCCTTCAGGGCTAACATGGTGGACGTTGTTTCCACACCAACAATGCCGTCAGAAAATGAGGTTCATGTTGCGAGGAGTTTCCTCACCAAGATTTTACGAAGTTCCATGAGGTACCAATGTGCAGAGCTGCAGCACCGAGCTGCTTCCTGCTAGCTTGTCTGGTCCAGTTTGTGTTTTATGTGTTTTGATTTAGTTTATCTAGTCGTTTTAATCACATACCCATTGGTTGCATAAAGTGCCTGTGATGTGAATGTAGTTTCAGATTTTTCAGTTTGTTTCACTGTTTAAAAATCTTGTTCAGTTTTATTTTTTATATATATATATTTTTTGAGTTTCTATTTTCTTTTTGTATTATGAAGAATTAATAAAATAACCTAACCTGTGCGCCAATCTGTTGCTCTTCAACATGCTGTCCAGGAAGAACCGCTTCAGGGGGTACGTTAACTGTGACGTGAGAAAAGCCATTCCTCTGTTAAGATATGGATAAAAGTTCAAATAATACAATAAAAATATTTTTTAATTCCTAAAATCTTTGTTCAATAAAAAAAAATGTTTCATTTTCTTGTATTTTCAGGGACATTGCGTAAATAATAAAGCAATTAAATCAATGAGGCTTTCTTTATAGATGGGAATAAAACAAAGATCTAGTGGCCAGAAAAACTTGAAAGCTTTTTACGCTGCAAAAACAATCTAGAAATAAGTAAAATTGTCTTAAATTAAGTGTATTTACCAGTAATTTGAGTAGGTAAATGATGATGATTTTTGCCAATCGAATGAGTATTTCTACTATTAAAATAAGATAATTAGATAAAATGCACTTGAAAAAAAAAATTCAATTGTTTTTTTCTTATTTTAAATTTAAATGTTCTTGTTCCATTGGCAAAGTGTCTCACTTACCTCCTAAATTCTTGTTTTGAAGAGAAAAAGGCTTTCGTTATTTTTAGATAATGAGAAAATTGTCTTGTTTTCTCCAGAAAATCCCAGTGAAAAAGTATCCAAGGGACACGACCGCCCTTGTCTCTAATGTAATAACTTTTCTTAAGCTGAATTATAGTAAAATCTTCTCTAAATTACTGAAATATTTTAGTTTTCATATTGAATGTTTGCATATCGCATTTGACCAATTAGATGAGCTCTTGAATGATATATTACCTACTGAAAAATTAAGTTGAAAAAAAGTTAAGTCAAGAAAAAAGGGTAAAAAGCTCACTGAAAAGTTAAAAAGTAAAGTGTTGTGGGAAAATGGTTCAACTATTTTCTCCAGTTAAATAAACGGAGATCAATGAATTTCACTCAGTCGCCACTTTATTTTATATCTTTGCAAAGAGAGAACAGTTCATCATACGGCCATTATTGCACGGTAATCATTCCTGTTCTGCATGAGCAGCGTTCGTTCCCCTTTACTTACAATAATGGAAAGTAGTCAAAGTCCAAACAAATTGGTTATCTTTGGTTAAACTTTGGATAAACAGTAACATGTTACGAATAAACCTTGAGAAAGAATCTGGTTTGCAATGGCAAGAAGTATGTCTTGTCTACAAACACCCTCACTCAGGCATTGTGTTATCTTGCAGGTGAAACTTACTGAGTGCAAAACTTTTATAGTGTGTAAATAGTATAATTTATTATATGAAATAAGAGAACCGACCACAAAAGTTAATAAGCCTAGTTAACAGCTATATTTACAGTAGGTTTATAAACTTAAAAATGTAAATGCCAGTATTAGCATTAATGCCTGTAAGGTTATGTTGTAACAAAAAATGTGTTTTTTTTCACTCTCGGTGTCTTTCATGAATTTCTTACAGAAGCAGTTTGTTATTTTTCTTAATATATTCAAGCAAGTTGGCGTTTCTTCTTACATCGACATTAATTTTTGCCATCAAAATGTCCATATTTTTTAATTTTACAAAGGCAATAAGGTCTTGTCCTAGATTTTAATAACACTATTGGCTGGAATGTTTGTATTTAAAGTATTTCACTTAGTACCCTATAAGGGTTAATTAATTCTACATATGGGATGAGGTTGATCTGATCTTTACTTTAAAATCAGGAATCTGGGACTCACTGTCTGCACCGTAACTCAACCAAAAGGCATTCGATGCAGATGTGTTGCAGTATGCCAAATTTGCAGAACAGTGACAGTCGAGGATTGAAGTTACCTTAATTGAGCCTGTATCACCCAGAATTATTACATTTTCACTCATTTTCTCATGTTCAGAAAAGAAAAACATCTGTTTTTCCATTAAGATGCTTTGGTTCTATTGGATCGTTACTTTATCTTAAGTGCTTGGGGCAACACCGGATCTAGAAGTGAACAGGAGTCTCTTAGAGGAAGAATGTTGAACTACTGAACTCTGCAAACTTCTGGCATTTATCTTTCCGTGAAAATCTGAAAGCAGTTAGGATGTCAAACGCTCCCTCATTGTGTAAAGTGTTCTGTTGGTTCTTTCTGCTGCAGGAAAAATGATCCAGGCTTACGGCCCCATTCCTGGCACTCCTCCAAGCTGACAGAAGAGGAGTCTGAGCCTGCCGGGACTCAGGCCAACCCAGTGTCTGTCTGGCAGCCAAAACATGAAGCAGGGTATTTTCATTTATTTTGGGGTAAACTTTCTGCTTTCCCACATTTGCCCCATTTTTTTTTTCTTTATCATAGGCCAGAAGAGTCAACCACACCAGGAGACCAGAATACTCAGCAGACCAATCAGCTCAGCTCAGTGACCAGCATGGAGAGACTGGAGCGTCCTTCTCATCCTTTACCACCAGGTTGTCATCCTCCAACGAAATACGTCGACACCTCTGAAACATTTTCTGCATCAGGAGCCAAAAGAGACTCTGCCTTCAGCTGTTTCTCTGGCAGCTCCAGCCCTCCTATTCTGGAGTCAAGCAGGAAAGGTACCAGCACTGAAAACATCTTCTTCAAAGGCCTTCAGAGTGAAGGACCTAAGCAGAATGAACGACACAGATACCCGCAGTCAAGTCCCGGGAACGGAGGCTGGGAGGGTTCACGGGTCGAGGAGCAGCCAGCATCTCGGGTTTCAGTTGCAGGAAGGCCCAATGGTGGCCTAGTGTGGCAGGCACCAGAGAAGAAAAAATCCCAGTCCCCTCCTCCTCCACCGCTGCCGCTGCGTAGTGACAGCTTTGCGGCAACCAAAGTGTTCCCATACTCTGAAGGGCCCTTGGGTCCGTCAAAGAATCATGGCAGCTCTATCGAAAAATTGACTGAAACCAACCAGAACTGCCTCAGATTTCAGAACCAACTGCACCCCAACAAACTCTTGTCCTTGTCCAGCAGCGATGTCAGGCAGTCTCATCATGCCCAATCACCTGCCCATCAGAGACAGTACAGCGATGAAAGCCCTTTCTACCTACAAACCAGGAAAGCTCCACCAGCAAAGACCCAAAGTGTTGGGAGTTACTATCGCAGCCTCCAAGATCTGCCCACAAATGCTTTCAGTAGAATGCACATCCGGCACTCCACAGCGGCTACGGCAGGTTGTACTGCAAACTCAAGTCTGGAGAGTGGAGGGCAAAACCGACATTTCGGCCCTGCAAGTAACTATCCAATGCAAATTGGTGAGGTAAAGGCCAGGCAGAGCAAAGCCGGGGGATGGAGAGGGGAGAGTGAATGGATGAGCAGCATTGAATCCTGTTTGCAGAACTCTCTGAAGGCAAACATTATGGCAAAATATCCAATGCCCCAGTCCCAGATGCCTTGCATGGAAAATAAAGACAGAAATGGGAATGGTCAAAACTATGACCACAAGACTCACAAACTTTCTCTTCAAAGCCCAAAAGAACAGTCAAAGAGAGCTGAAGGGCCCCCTAATGAAATAAAAAGAGCTTTTCTAACACATCAGAGTAATGATCATAAAGTTGGTCCTTCGAGACTTCAAGACCCTTGGGTGCCTCAAGAAGATCACAGGATATCAGCTCTAAAAACTCCACTTCTCCACTTCTTGGCACAGGAGAGTCAGAGTTTGACAGAGAGGCAATCAACAGCTGCTACCAAGTCTATGATTCCCACCCAGGATGCCTGTGAAGCCATAACCACCGGCAGTGGGAAAGCAGGCCGCCGCAGTGACCGCTATGCCACCACCCTTCGAAAGGAGATCAAGGAGAAGAGAGCCCAGCTACAGAAGAGCTGTAGTGCTGCAACCCTTACATGTGAGGCTGAGGATGAGGAAGATGCAGAAGAGTGGAGGTCCATGGAGGCCTCTGCATCCTCAAATACCTATAAGGACCATCTGAAAGAGGCCCAGGCAAGAGTCCTTCAGGCCACCTCTTTCCAGAGACGAGACCTTGAGCCCCTGGGGCCAGAGGCGCCAGTTATTAGAGCATCCTATGGGCGAATCAGAGGACGTAGACGATTCCACCCAGCAAAGAGGACCCATTCATTCTCAGAGCCTGATAAGATAGACAAAGTGGGGGTGGATGGAGAATCCCAACATGGCCCAGAGCAACAGAGAAAGTTCTTGGAGACCAAACCTGCATTCCCCAGGCCAATGCTGCAGTTAAGTCATGGCACAGACTCGAACCTGAACCAAGGTGAATCAAACAAATCACAGGAGACCCTTCCCTCTGGAGAAAGTGACCATTCTCAACCCTGCACAGACCCTAACAAGCAGAGTCCCAGACATAAGCAGATTTTACTGGAACTTCAGAGACTGGGTACCTTCGCTGAGTACCAGGCCACCTGGAATGAAAAGAAAAAGTCATCTGAAGCCAAAGCACAGGGGCGATATCACTCAGCAGAGAACATTCTAGACCCCGGCGTAGAGGAGAAGTCTCTCTGTATCCATGAGAGATCCAGATCCTCACCTTCTGCAGACTTCCACACACAGGTGAGCAGATATGTGATTGTTCATAACTGTAAAAACCTCTTCTGCCAATGCTGTCTCTTTGCTTCATAAACAAATAACGATGAGTAGTTTAAAGCGATTCAGCAGTCTGTACTTTAACCGTTCCATTCTGATTTTCCTCTCCTCTGTCGCTACAAGCATGCTTAGTGTGAGGGATTGCTTTTGAGTCAATGAGTCGATGCAATCAACTGTTTTTTTTAGGATAGAAAAATTTGAATCAATTTCACTGTATGATCTGATGAACTGTAAAGTGCCTTGAGATGACATGTGTCGTGAATTGGCGCTATAGAAATAAACTGATTAGAAATATTTAACATTACATTTCTTTTTCAGAATATTTCCCCTCATTGGAGAGATCCTCAATCATTGGGGAGCAGTTTGACCAAAAGGTGAGTTTAACTTTCTAATGTTTTATAAAACGTGACACATAATGGCACTGAAAATGTATATTAACACCATCGTAAGGTTAGTTCCTGATTTTTCTTTGTGACAAAAATCTAGTAAGAGAAGCAACAGACTGAAATACTCTCCTTTAGTGAAATTTTAAACCAGCAACATTGGAGGTTTTTTTTCCTGTTTTAACAGCCTGCTCAAGGTCGTATAACGACACATTGATGTAATTAATTTAACACAAGACTGACTTGGCCACTTCAAGACCTTCTTCTAAGGGGGGAGTCCTTCGGTGGTGGACCAAAATGTAACCCAGGCACTTGGGATTAAGATTTTCAGATGTTGTCTTTGGGATCTTTTAAACTTCTTTGGTTATCAGATGGGCGCTGTTGAAGTGATTGCTTGATTTCATAGATGTAGCACGAGTCACCATCAATCTCTAATCGCTGTTTGTTTGTCATTCAGGAAATGGAAGTTGGTGCGATGGAATTTTTAGAAAGAGCCAGGATGGTTTCTGTTTTTAGCTTTTTAAAAATGACTGAGTTAGGATAAAACATGCGGTGGACAAACAGATTGGGACTTTGTCTGCAGAAACATGGACGTTTCTTTGGTTTGTTCTGGTGAGGAAGGGGCTTAGTTGAAAGGCAAAGCTCTTGGTGTGATCTTAGGTCATCATGTAGCTCCTGAAGTGGATCGAATGCTTCTTCGCGTTGACAGTCGTTGGTCAAGGTAATTGCAGCACCAATCAGGAGGCCTCCTGCGGTGGTTTTTCATGCTTGTTGGACTTCAATGAAAGCCCAGAAAAGAGCTGAGGCTGCACTATAGACCCTACCTGGCCTGGGAGCGCCTTGGAGAACAATGTCTGGGGTTCCTTCATGGACCTGTTACCTCTGTGACCTGATCTCAAACAAACAGAAGAGAGTAATAGATGGATTGCTCTCTTTTCTAGCTTGTAAGCTCCACCTAAACTAACAGCAGGCTGGGTTTTAGTGGGTGTGGAGCGTGACCATATATCTCAGAGGAGCTGTTTGCAGAGAAACACCATCAGTGGGTTCTGGAAGACCGTGAAATGAATTCCACTCTCGCTGAAAAGTGTCCTTTGGTGATACTGAAACATTTTGCGTTTTATTCTCACAGTTTAGGATGTTTTACTCTAAGCTGTACCAGGAGGTTCCCAAACTCCTTTATTATTAAACTCTACTTAGTTTGGTTAAACCATAGATGATGGTGTTTAAAAAAACTGCTCACATATAAGCAGGGGGGGATTTACCATTAGGCAATACTAGGCAGTTGCCTATCAACCCAAAGTTCCCCATAAAAATCTATTTACATGTATGGTTGATAAAACTATTCCTTATTTGTGCACATTAATTATGTTTTTAATCAAAATGCCATCAGAACACTGATAATATGAAGTGTGTCTCAGCCCCCCCCTTCAGTGTCCACCATATTGGATCAGTCCATTTGCTGCACATGTTCAGAAAGGTCCAAACAGACAGCAGCAAACCATTTGAAAACAAACGATGCAAAGAGCAGTGTTGCCAACTTAGCGCTTTAGTCGCTATATTTAGCCACTTTTCAGACCCCTCTAGCACTTTGATTTCTAAAAACCACCTAGCGTCAAATCTAGCGACTTTTTTCTGCTACTGGAGACTTTGGAGACAACATCTAAAAGCAGCGAACTCTGCTCTCCAGAGCAAGTAGATTGGTAACCCCGCCTCCTGCTCTCCTCTATCTTGTCTGCTGTCATGATTCATGCAGCTATTATTTCATCCAAATGAAAAATGGAGAACAGATAAGCAGATCATGGCTTGTCTACAGTGAAAAGAAGGACTGGGTTATTTACTTTGGCCTTTTTGGAAACACAGGAAGGAGCAATCAGCTAAGTGAGCTTAGTGCTTGGAAAAAATCTTTCATTCCTTTAGAGACAGCATGAAAAGTCAGCTGAGTACAAAACATAGAGAGGAAAACAAGAAGAAAAGGGACAAGAAGAGAGGGACACAACCTAGAACAGATAATGGATGTCTATTCTATTAACATTTCTATATCTCTATAATGGGGCTGTTTAATGTGTTATCTTTTTAATTCAGAGGGTCCCCTGCCTATCTTTGCCTTGGGCCCCACATTTCCTAAATCCGCCCCTGAACAGAAGGGAGGACACTGCTCTTTTACAGCACCGGGTCACTCCTGATGGATTCACCAGTCAAAGTGCAGTAATTAATGTCTGGATTTAAAAATAAACGATAAATAATATAGATGGAGTGATATAAAATATCCCGTAAAGGAGACATTTAAAGTTAAATGGTTTTAATCTTCGTGTTCATATTTCCTGACCTCCCAAAGCTTCACTTTCACCTCTGAAGTCTCCAATCGTCTCGATCAACCAGCCGGTAAAACCAGCTCTTCTAACAGATCGACGTTTGTTTTAAAAAAAACAATGAAAAATATTCTCCTCATTAATGTTGACCAGCTGTATTTTATCGGTAGCATGACCATGAATCATCAGCAGATTAACATTCCTCTGTGGTTTAAGCAGCTCTCAGAAATCCAGGGAAATATTCTCATTCAGTTAACATCCACTTTCCAAACAGCCACCATCTAAACGACAGATTTTACTTTATTTATGCGGAAACGTTTAACTGACCTTTAATCAGACTGTTTGAATAATTATTAAATTAATTTGTAACTAAAAATGACCTGCATCTCTCGTTATTTTTGGCATTTTTCTTAAAAGTTTTCCTTTTAATTTCCCTGTGTTTATAGTTCATAAAAAAATTTGCCATTATAGGTTTAATATCTTTTTATGGCTAAAATCTACCTATATGATCTAAAATAATCTTTAACTGATTTATTAATGTACTGGGCCAAAACAAAAGAAACTTAATTATATACTCTTAATTAAAAAAATGTTTTTTTGCTTTGATCAGAGGTATGCAGAGTAGCCAAAAATAATACTCTAGTCAGTCCTTCCAATAAATTACTCAAATAAGAGTAAAAAAGTACTTAAAATTAGTTTGACCAGATTTGGGTTTCTGAAAAGGAGACTTTTTATGGGGGGGGGGGCTGCTGGGCCGCTGGCTGGTCCGGGTCCGGAGCCAGCCGGGTCCGGAGCCAGCCGGGACCGGAGCCAGCCGGGTCCGGAGCCAGCCTTGTCTGGAGCCAGCCGGGAACGGAACCAGCCGGGTCCGGAGCCAGCCGGGAACGGAGCCAGCCGGGAACGGAGCCAGCCAGGAACGGAACCAGCCGGGAACGGAGCCAGCCGGGAACGGAGCCAGCCGGGAACGGAGCCAGCCGGGAACGGAGCCAGCCGGGAACGGAGCCAGCCGGGACCGGAGCCAGCCGGGAACGGAGCCAGCCGGGTCCGGAGCCAGCCTTGTCTGGAGCCAGCCGGGAATGGAACCAGCCGGGTCCGGAGCCAGCCGGGTCCGGAGCCAGCCTTGTCCGGAGCCAGCCGGGAACGGAGCCAGCCGGGTCCGGAGCCAGCCGGGAACGGAGCCAGCCGGGTCCGGAGCCAGCCGGGTCCGGAGCCAGCCTTGTCCGGAGCCAGCCTTGTCCGGAGCCAGCCGGGAACGGAGCCAGCCGGGAACGGAGCCAGCCGGGAACGGAGCCAGCCGGGAACGGAGCCAGCCGGGAACGGAGCCAGCCGGGACCGGAGCCAGCCGGGAACGGAGCCAGCCGGGTCCGGAGCCAGCCTTGTCTGGAGCCAGCCGGGAATGGAACCAGCCGGGTCCGGAGCCAGCCGGGTCCGGAGCCAGCCGGGTCCAGAGCCAGCCTTGTCCGGAGCCAGCCGGGAACGGAGCCAGCCGGGTCCGGAGCCAGCCGGGAACGGAGCCAGCCGGGTCCGGAGCCAGCCGGGTCCGGAGCCAGCCTTGTCCGGAGCCAGCCTTGTCCGGAGCCAGCCGGGAACGGAGCCAGCCGGGTCCGGAGCTAGCCTTGTCCGGAGCCAGCCGGGAACGGAGCCAGCCGGGAACGGAGCCAGCCGGGAACGGAGCCAGCCGGGTCCGGAGCCAGCCGGGTCCGGAGCCAGCCGGGAACGGAGCCAGCGGGGAACGCAGCGTCCGAACCCGACATATGCCAACCCGCCCCCGCCTGCCTGCTGTGTTTCGACTCCATGCTGCACTGTATTCGACCAAAATCCCGGACGACCATCGCCATAGTAACGGAAGTAAAAATACTTTGTTACCTAACTAAAGTAGAAATGTTGGCCATATATACTACACAACTTTCTACTTCCATTCATCCATTTTCTTCCTCTTTATCCGGGGCCGGCAGGCGGAGTTAGCAATCTGAGCAGAGATGCCCAGACTTCCCAACCAGACATCCAAACCCACCTCCTCCAGCTGCTCTGGGGGGGGACCCTGAAGCGATCACCACGCCATACAGTAGTCCCTGCAGCATGTCCTGGGCCTTCCACCAGGCCTCCTCCCAATAGGACATGCCTGGACCAGGAGGCATCCAGAACAGATGCCCGATCCTCCTCAGCTGGCTCCTTTCCACGTGGAGGAGCAGCGACTCTACTCCGAGCTCCTCCCGGGTAACTGAGCTCCTCATCTGAGCTGGAAGGGTGCGCCCAGCCGCCCTGAGAGGGAAACTCATTTTGGCCGCTTGTGTTCGCGATCTTCTCCATTCAGTCATCACTAGGGTGACCAGATTGGGGTTTACTGAACAGCAGAGAGCACCATATATTACCCTATATGGTGATTAGTTCAGACATTCGGACGCAGCCGAAGACTTTCAGTGACGCCGTCGACCGTTTTCTTCATATTTCTCAGATTTTAAAGTGGGTCAAGTTACTCCTGGTGAGCAGAGTAACTGGAATAACCTAATAAAAGAGTGAAATACAACTGCTCCTTAAAATAGTATGTTTTTTGTTGTTTTTGCTAGAAGTTATTCAAGTAAAGGTACAGGTTTACTCCTCTCCTATTAGTATAAAAAAGGAGAGATGGCGTGTCGGTATGAGTACTATGAAGTAACACTGACCTGTCCGTCCCTCCATCCAGGATCTTCTCTGAATCTCGATTTTTAATCGATTCATTTAAAAGAACCGCCCTCTTTAGCGATAATTAGACGGTCAGACCCTCTGACAGTAATGTATAGGCAAAAAAAAAACGTTTTCATCAGAGCTCAGCTAAATAAACAATATCCATCCTTGAAGTTCAGCAGAATGATTCCTTTAGAAGAGATACTGGGAAACATGACTGTCTCTCTGTCTTTCTGTCTCGATGTCTTTCTGTCTCGATGTCCCTCTCGCTCATCAGGTGGGAGGTGGAGATGTTTTATGTCAGGCAATTAAAGTATTGCTTATTCTGAAGTTTTTAGAGGGTTGAGAGTTTTTTTTCTTTTATTTTTTGGGCTGTGTGGATGTTGTTTATTTATGTATCTAATTTGCTTATAACTATTTCTTGGAAATGAAAGCTTGGACCAATAAAGAGAGTCCATGGTCCCTCCTTCTGTCTCCCTCCCTCCAGATGTTTTCTCTCATGTCCTCTGTTGTTGTTGTAGTACAGGATGGTTCCTCCTTCAGGTACTGATGAGCTTTTAATTCTCACCTTCAGAGAGACGGCAGGGAGCAGGTCACCTGACCACAGCCCACAGGGGATCCTCCCATGCCCCCCCGACCACAGAACCGAACCCGACCCAGCCGGCCACTCCCTCTCCTCCGTCAGCCTGAACTCTGAGCCCAAACCGCCACAAACCCAGAGCCTCCTGCCACCACCCAGCCTCCATTTAGGTCCAGAAACCACATCCTGTTCCAAGGAATTCCTCGCCGGCGCCCAGCCGGACCCGGCAGGACCCGGTTCTGCCTCTGACAGCCAGAACCAAGCAGCTGCCCTCCCCTCCTCTGGTCCCGCCCAGCATGTTTCTCCTCACCTCATCGCCCAGTCTGGAGCAGGAGCTGCAGAGAGCAAGGAGCAGGAGGAGTGGACACAACCGTCCTCTTCATCGCCATCATCATCATCACCTTCAGCAGCTCTGGGTTGTCCCGGGCCGGACCAAACCCGCTCTCCTTCGCCCCAGTTTGCTCCTCTGAGGCTGACCGACAAACCGCCCGGCGTGTCGGGTCAGGATGACCCGGGGCTCAGGTAAGCAGCCTATACTGAGGTCTGGTGGTGCGTAGAGCTTCCAGAACCATTTCTAAATCATCAGGCAGAATCAGCAACTTAAGGAGAAATAAACCCCTGAAATGTTTCTGCTTTCAGCTCCAAAGCTGAACCACAGGATCCAGCTGGGATGGATGTGAGCAGCCCGGTCAGAAAGGTTCCCATCAGGATCGTCCACACTGGCTCAGAGCGGCGGGGCCAGGCCTACCTGCCTCAGAGCGCCGAGTCCAGCGCCGGCCCCACACCCTCCGCCAAACTGACTGCAGAGCGGACCGCTCCGTCTCTGTTCAGCGCCTACACCCGGCCAGAACCACTGTCGGCCCAGGAGTCAGGCGGCCCCCGCAACCTGGAGCCAGAGGACGCCAAACGGGAAGAGCTGGTGAGGGACATCATGGGCAGGGACAAGTCTCTGGTGGACATCCTGGATCAGAGCGGCAGGAGGACCACCATGGACCTGATGGAGGGACTCTTTCCCCCGGAGGAGAGGATCCTGGAGGGGGTCCAGCTGAGGAGGAGGGCGTCGGTGGGCTCCAGGCCCTCCGTCACCAGCAGGTGAAGTAAAAGGAGCTCTCATTTTAACTGAGAAAAAAAAACGTGATTTTTAAAAAAAATGTCTGGATGCATTAAAGCTTCAGAGAAAGACCATAAAACTGGTTATAGGTTAAAAATGTAAACTTCTGATGAGTTATATAAGATTTCAGGTCAGTTTAGTGGCCTTAGTCTGGCCTTTGGGGGACAAATACAGTATTTCAAAACATTTCAACTTTTTACAGGTTTACAGAAGAGGATTAGGGCCACTGCAAAAAAAATGATTTCAGTTTAATATGGGAAAAAGTCAGAATTCTGACTTTAATCTCAGAAGTCTGACTTTAATCTCAGGATTGGGACTTTAATCTCAGGATTCTGACTTTAATCTCAGGATTCTGACTTTAATCTCAGGATTGTGACTTTAATCTCAGAATTCTGACTTTAATCTCAGGATTGTGACTTTAATCTCAGGATTGTGACTTTAATCTCAGGATTGTGACTTTAATCTCAGAATTCTGACTTTAATCTCAGGATTGTGACTTTAATCTCAGAATTCTGACTTTAATCTCAGGATTGTGACTTTAATCTCAGAATTCTGACTTTAATCTCAGGATTGTGACTTTAATCTCAGAATTCTGACTTTAATCTCAGGATTCTGACTTTAATCTCAGGATTCTGACTTTAATCTCAGAATTCTGAATTTAATCTCAGGATTCTGACTTTAATCTCAGGATTGTGACTTTAATCTCAGGATTCTGACTTTAATCTCAGGATTGTGACTTTAATCTCAGAATTCTGACTTTAATCTCAGGATTGTGACTTTAATCTCAGGATTCTGACTTTAATCTCAGAATTCTGACTTTAATCTCAGAATTCTGACTTTAATCTCAGGATTGTGACTTTAATCTCAGGATTCTGACTTTAATCTCAGGATTGTGACTTTAATCTCAGAATTCTGAATTTAATCTCAGGATTCTGACTTTAATCTCAGGATTGTGACTTTAATCTCAGGATTCTGACTTTAATCTCAGAATTCTGACTTTAATCTCAGGATTGTGACTTTAATCTCAGAATTCTGACTTTAATCTCAGAATTCTGACTTTAATCTCAGGATTTTGACTTTAATCTCAGGATTCTGACTTTAATCTCAGAATTCTGAATTTAATCTCAGGATTCTGACTTTAATCTCAGGATTGTGACTTTAATCTCAGGATTCTGACTTTAATCTCAGGATTGTGACTTTAATCTCAGGATTCTGACTTTAATCTCAGGATTGTGACTTTAATCTCAGAATTCTGACTTTAATCTCAGAATTCTGAATTTAATCTCAGGATTCTGACTTTAATCTCAGGATTCTGACTTTAATCTCAGGATTCTGAATTTAATCTCAGGATTCTGACTTTTTTTTCTCAGAATTCTGACTTCAATCTCAGGATTCTGAATTTAATCTCAGGATTGTGACTTTAATCTCAGGATTGTGACTTTAATCTCAGAATTCTGACTTTAATCTCAGGATTGTGACTTTAATCTCAGAATTCTGACTTTAATCTCAGAATTCTGACTTTAATCTCAGGATTTTGACTTTAATCTCAGGATTCTGACTTTAATCTCAGAATTCTGAATTTAATCTCAGGATTCTGACTTTAATCTCAGGATTGTGACTTTAATCTCAGGATTCTGACTTTAATCTCAGGATTGTGACTTTAATCTCAGAATTCTGACTTTAATCTCAGGATTGTGACTTTAATCTCAGGATTCTGACTTTAATCTCAGGATTGTGACTTTAATCTCAGAATTCTGACTTTAATCTCAGAATTCTGAATTTAATCTCAGGATTCTGACTTTAATCTCAGGATTCTGACTTTAATCTCAGGATTCTGAATTTAATCTCAGGATTCTGACTTTTTTTTCTCAGAATTCTGACTTCAATCTCAGGATTCTGAATTTAATCTCAGGATTGTGACTTTAATCTCAGGATTCTGACTTTAATCTCAGAATTCTGACTTTAATCTCAGGATTGTGACTTTAATCTCAGAATTCTGACTTTAATCTCAGAATTCTGACTTTAATCTCAGGATTGTGACTTTAATCTCAGGATTCTGACTTTAATCTCAGAATTCTGAATTTAATCTCAGGATTCTGACTTTAATCTCAGGATTGTGACTTTAATCTCAGGATTCTGACTTTAATCTCAGGATTGTGACTTTAATCTCAGAATTCTGACTTTAATCTCAGGATTGTGACTTTAATCTCAGGATTCTGACTTTAATCTCAGGATTCTGACTTTAATCTCAGAATTCTGAATTTAATCTCAGGATTCTGACTTTAATCTCAGAATTCTGACTTTAATCTCAGGATTCTGACTTTAATCTCAGGATTCTGAATTTAATCTCAGGATTCTGACTTTTTTTTCTCAGGATTCTGACTTTAATCTCAGGATTCTGAATTTAATCTTAGGATTCTGACTTTAATCTCAGGATTCTGACTTTAATCTCAGAATTCTGACACTAATCTCAGGATTCTGACCTTAATCTGTCATGTTTGGCTTCAGGTGCCTAACCCACATGCAGAACACTCCGAGACAGGATAAAAGTTCAAAAGTTTATTTAGAAGATGGAATACAATAAATAAACAGATCCCAAGGATTCTCGAGTGGATTCTGAAATGCACACAGAGTTAACAGGTCCAGGACTGGTCACGAGTGGGTTCACTGCAGAGGGGGACAGAGGAGTAAGTGGAGGTCCAGGTAATTTGCAGGATGAGTGTGTGGAGGGCTGTACTTGTACAGGAGTTGAGCTGAGCGGCTGAGGGGGGAACCTTGAGGGTCCAGAGGCTGTCGGCAGGCTGAGGGCTAGGCGGAGGCAGAGCTTGGTTTGAGTGTTGGCAGATTACCGATTAGAGTTTCCCTTCCGGTTTCTTCAGCGAGCGGGCAGGCAGGTCTTTGACAGGAATAGTTTTCCAGGGTTCTTCAGAGAACAGACAGGCAGATTACCGGCAGAGAAACTCTTCTGGGTTTCAGGTTTCAGGCAGGTTCAATCTAGGAAGCAGAGAGGAGAAAACAGATTAGGTTCAGGTTCTGGTTTTCAGGGTGTCAGAGATTCAGACAGGCAGGTTGGCTCAGGCTTTGCTAACCGTAACTGGCAAACACTCTGGCACTGGAGAGAAGTCCTCTGCCTCCTTAAATACAGATCTCCTGATGAGCAGACGAGCGACAGGTGGTTGCAATCAGCTCCGGCTCCAGGAGATCAAGTACGCCTTCTGGTGGAGAAAGTGGACAGACCTCCGGATCCCAACATAATCTCAAAATTCTGACTTTTTTCTCAGAATTCTGACTTTAATCTCAGGATTCTGACTTTAATCTCAGAATTCTGACTTTAATCTCAGGACCCTGTCTGTAGCAGTAGCCACCTCTGTTTTAGAAACTAGCTCTCTTGTTTTAATCACCTTCTACTTTTCTATAAATGAAACAGCATCACCAGGGACCCTCAGGCATGTAAAAAGTCACCTAATTCCATAATTTTCTATCTATATTTTACTGGCCCTCCCAAACAACTCACATCTTTGTCAGTGAAGCTGAGTGGTCATCCATATTAAGATCCAAAAGTCTGAGATTAAAGTCAGAATTCTTAGCCTGATAAACCAGACTAAATGTCAGATTAAATGTGTAATCTAGTCTGGCCCCGATGAATGAGACATCGGAAGATTGTTGATGTCTGTGCCTATTGGACAACGCTCTGACCAATGAGAGAAACTGACTGTGACGTAGGAAGCGCGACGGGAAGCTGGTGGGGGAGTGGAAACTAATAGTGTGTTGGTAAGATGGCGAATACGTCCTTCTTAAAAATAAATGAGCGTAGAGCCTCTTCCTGCTCACGTTTTAATGAAAACCCAAAGTCTAATCCTTCCAAAACTGATTTCAAAGCTGAGTCTAACCAGAACTGTTCAATAGTTGTTGCCATCTTCCTTGTTCTGTTTTCTCCAGCGTCGTGCAGCTTTGCCTTCACGCCCTCAAAACCCCGCCCACTTTGCATCCAAAAATTTAAAACACATGTTTGCGTTGTGATTGGCCCTCCAGTTCTAGGGCCTGGGGCATTGATCGAGGCTCGACCACTCGCAGGTGAAAATGATTTTGGCCGCTGGCGGGTGGGGCTAGTTTACTAGGCTGCAGAATTCTGAGATTAAAGTTAGAATTCTGACTTTTTTACATATTAAACTGAAATAATATTTTTAAAAATGTTTTTCAGTGGCCCTAATCCTCTTCCATAAATGTTAGATTTTAATAGTAAATGAAAATTACTATTAATAATTGTAGGCAATGAATCATCAGGGAGGGAAGGTTTATTTCTGGGTTGTTTCGTCTTTAAGCTTAAAACAAACGGAGGAACGTGTTTATTTTTATGAACCTCAGACCTTCTATTTAATCAGGAGAGAAGCGGAGGATGCGTCCCTGTCAGCCACACTGGTCCCCAGCTCCTCCTACTACAACACATCGGCCCCCAAAGCCGAGCTCCTCATCAAGATGAAGGACATGCAGGAGCAGCTGGAGGACCAGGACTCTGAGGACGAGCTGGACGTTGATCTGGCCAGTAAAAAGGTAGAACCTGTCCGCTGACATCTCAAAAAAAAAAAAGATGAAGAGTCATCAAAATGTGTTCCTTCTCAGCAAGAGCTGATCTCCAGCCTGGCGAGGAAGCTGGAGGTGCTGCGGGAGGCGCGGCAGAGCCTGCAGGAGGACGTGGAGGACAACGAGACGCTGGGCCGCGAGGTGGAGGCCACCGTGCAGCGTCTCTGCCAGTCCAACCAGCTGGACAAGTTCCGCATGTTCGTGGGCGACCTGGACAAGGTGGTGAGCCTGCTGCTGTCGCTGTCAGGGCGCCTCGCTCGGGTGGAGAACGCCCTCAACAGCCTGGAGGACGAGGCTCCGCTGGAGGAGAAGGTAGCTAGAGACGTCAAAGAAAACGCTGCGGTCTGAGTGTGTCTGCCAGGTTCTAACTCGCCTTGATCCTGCAGCGGACGCTGACGGAGAAACGCGAGCTGCTGATGAGGCAGCACGACGACGCCAAGGAGCTGAAGGAGAACCTGGACCGCAGGGAGCGGCTGGTGACCGGGATCATGGAGGCTCACCTGGACGCGGAGAGCTTGGCCGACTACAGACACTTTGTGAAGATGAAGTCGGCGCTCATCATCGAGCAGCGGAAGCTGGAGGATAAGATCAAGCTGGGAGAGGAGCAGCTGAAATGCCTGATGGAGAGCCTGCCGGCGGAGCAGAGGCAGCCGCCGCCGGAGCAGAGGCCGCCGCCGCCGGAGCAGAGGCCGCCGCCGGAGCAGAGGCCGCCGCCGCCGGAGCAGAGGCCACCTCTCAGCCTCCAGTGTTAGACCCAGTCGAAATGTCTGATTTTTTTTTAGCTGCTTCCTGCATCTCCTCTGGGACTTTTTACCTAAACTGGTCCATTTCGGCCATTTTTGCTCCAATCGTCACAGAAACAGACTTGGGGCCCGTTTGAGCTGCTGCCTTAGAGAAAACAGAACCACTGAGGAGAAGCTGGAGACGTTTGTGCAGGAGGTTCTGGGGTTTGCAGATCTTAGAGCAGCTGTCCTGGTTTAGTCTGACTGTCCCTCTATGGGGGAAAAACGGTCTAACTGAAATCTGCCTAATTTAAAACACTGAATCTTTTTACACATTGAATTCTTTGCACTGAATTTTAATCTGCTAAAAATTCAGGTGCAAAAAATTTGACTGCATATGTGTCGACCTTTTGGTGAACTCAAGCCAAAGCAATCTACACTCAGCAGCTTCTAGCCAATGAAAATAGCTCATTTGGTCATGTGACACAACAGTTGGGAATAGCTTTGTTCCCGACCGAATTCTGACTTTTTTCTCAGAATTCTGACTTTTTCAATGAAGCTTAATGGGGAATTTTTCTTGTTAAATAGATCTGATTAGAAAACATCAGTCATTAGAGTTTTCCATCTAAAGGGACTGGGTGAAATAACTGAATCGATCACAGATAGTGCGGCACCCCCGTCTGCCAAGGCTGTTGGTTTGATCCGGAAGAAGCGGCCGGTGGCAAACTTTTATTTTTCTGACCAAGTGAGCTAGTTTAACAGGGCTTGGTCGTCATGACGTAAGCACTTTGCGTGGCCGCCATCTTGATGGCCTCTTTTACCGCTGCTCAGACTACTGCCTATGACTACCGCATACTGTACTCCCTCTCAGCCATGTTTAATATGATTAATTTCACCTTAACTTGGTTTCAACCATGGTAAACCGTTGCTGTATTGTGGGCTGTAACGGCGCAACACATGATCGCCATGGGAAAAACATAGAAAATGGGTTAACTTTCCACCACTGTCCTGCCTGGAGGCGTAACCATGGAGACCAAGCGTCAGAGATAAAGAGTCGTCGGCTAGCTTGGATCGCGGCTATAAGACGACCGAACATAACTTTCCACAGTATCCCGATGTCATTGAGAGTGTGTTCCCTGCATTTTCATTCTGGTAAGTTAAAGATGCACGGTTTTATTTTATAGCCTACTTTGTTTCTTTCCTTCAAGTTGGGATCTTTTACGGGAAAATAATAAAAACGGCAGCGGGAAAAGGCTCAAATACGTGAGAAACCCGGAGGGTTGGCAGTTAACGTTACTAACTACACCTTTGAAACACATAGCAGCTAGTTAAAAGTACATTACATGCGTGAGTGGTTGTTAGCATTAGCGGTTAGCAGTTGCTAAACTAGCAGGTTCCAGAGCCCGTCTGATCACAGCTTACCTTCGTATGGATTACTGTGTTCCCACTGTTTGCTGGCTTTATGATCTGCAGCACCTGAACCCATCCATTCATGAACTGCATATGAGACTCCAAGGACTTGTAGCTTGGGAACTGTTTTTAAGTATAGGCGCTCACTCATCGGTGCTCCACTCATTGTTTGGAACTTCATATTATTAATAATGCTGACTTTGTCAACATACCGGTCCCTGGCTTCTCTATTTAATGTGTCCGTGTAAATTCCAGATCTTTGTCGGGATTTTAACATCTTTTTTCTCTCTACTTCTACGTCTCTTCTTTCAACAACAACGTTGTATCAGAGCTACGTTTACGTTTGCGTAGCCCTCAATATGGCCGCCACGTCCCACAATGCAACGCCGATCCCGAGCCCTATTGGCTAGAATCAGCTCGACTGCATCGAGCGTGGATGGCTTTGGTAAATTTGCAGTGACATTTTTCAGAGCTGAATTTTTTTGCAGATTAATTTTTTGTAGGCATATTTTTGCAGCTCAATTTTCACCAGATAAAAATTCAGTGTTTAAAATTCGGTGCTAAAAAATTTTAGTGATTAAAATTCGGTGAAAAAAGGCAGATTCCAATGCGGCTGTTTTTCTTCCATATTCCCTTTGCTGCTGCTGCTGCAACATTTGCTGATTTATCAGCAGCTGATTCTTATATTTAAAGTTCAATCTTTTAGTAATTTATTGTAATTTTTATTCTGTTTAATTTATTATCTTCCTGATTCTCTGGTTTATGTTTATCTGCCTCTGATCTGGGAGTGAATGGGTTTTAAACTGGGACTGATGGCCTGTCGTCCCAGTCAGCTGCAGCAGGTTTTCCCTCAGTTTCATCTGCCAGGCATGCAGTTTTCAGCTCAGCTTAGCGTTAAGAGGTGCTTCCTGTTTGCTCCTGAAAGGCATTAAAATGATCAACCTCAAATGTGCAGCAGAGTCTTTATTCATCTTCTGCAGTGAATATAGAACAGAAACACACAGAATTGTTCTTCGTCTAGAGGTTCTGTTGCAGGATGAGCTGAGGACTTTCCCCATCATCCTCTTTACTGGATCCAGTCAGCTGATCACACTGGACTGGAGATGCTCCCCATTTGAGCGGTTCTTTGTTCTGGAATTAGGGGGCCGACAAGGCTGGCTGTGGACAGCGAACGCATCGCCGCCTTGAAGAAACCCAGAATAAAAGGACGAAACGACGTCATACACTGCAAAAAAATAACAATCAAAGTAAGTCAATTTCTCTTAAAATATGTGTATTTTTCTTTATTAGAGCAAGATATAGAATCAAATGATTCTGTTTGGGTGCATGAAGGTGCAGCAACTCAGAAAGATGAGATGGAGCAAGACCATGGAGGGACTTAAAAACAAATAAAAGAACTATAAAATGAATCCTGAAATGTACAGGGAGCCAGTGTAATGAGGCTAAAACTGGGGTAATGTGCTCGTATTTATGAGTGCCAGATAAAAGACGTGCTGCAGCATTTTTGCAATCTCTGGAGATGAGCAATGTTGGAGGCACTAACCCCCAAAGAAAATGCGTCACAGTAATCCAGCAAGGCATGGATTACTGTCTCTAAAAGATCTCTGGAGAGAAAAAGAGATTATTTCATTTGAAGAACAGAAACATTCAAAGTCAAATACCCAGTGGCGCCTCCAGGACTGTTTCATAGGGGGGGGGCAGATGGACCACTGAAAATCTTGGGGTGGCCACTGTAACTAAAAGCCATATTTTCAGGGTTTGAATCTACTATTGTGGTAAACCTGTCTGAAGAAATCATAATGACTTAAACACCTACTCATATCTGATTATTGTCTGATTCTTTTATTTTACGTCACTGGCTGTGCAGAATGGGATGAAATGCTAATTTAATGGTACTACAATTACACTGGCTAGTGGGAGGGCCAGGTGGGTGGTTAGTGGGATGGCCAGTGGGCTGGCCAGGCATTGCACAGGTTGGCCGTGGCCACCCCCTGGTGGCACCACTGCAAATACACCTTTTTATTTATTTTGTCAATGACTTTTTTTTTTTCGTCAATTTGTTTTTTTCCAAGACAAAAATAAAAGCAAATCCAGTGACTTTCTCCTTAATGTGAGCCAATAATCAGAGGTGGGCTTTAACTACTTAAAGGTTTAACAGAACTTTTTTTACTTTTTAAAATGTTTGGCTGCTTAAACAGGATTGTTTTAAACCCAGTTAAATTTTATGTCCGGATGAATTTTTCTTTTTCGTACAAAAGCTAACCTGAACCCACCGAGACATTTGGAGGTCGAGCTAATAAACAGGAAGGAGGGAATATCGTAACTGGAGATTACGATATCCGAAGTGTTTCATTCGTTACATAATTTTTGTTTTAATGATTTAAAAAAACACATAACTTTCCATCTGTCTTTATTACATTGTTTTAAATATCAGATCTTTTTAGTTAACCTGCACTCAAGCAGCCTTTTTACTAAATACTTTTTTTCATCTTGAGTAATTTCTTAGATGGCTACTTCTAAATATTAAGTCAAAATATGATTAGGTAATATTTTTGCTACTCTACTCTACCTTAAGTTTCCAATGGAATCAGATGGTTTAACTTTAAAATAAGAAATAAAAACCTCCTTTATATTATATCAAGCAGATAATCTCTAATTATTTTATCATAAGAATAGAAATACTCGTTTTATTGGCTGATAACTTTTATCTGTTTAAATGAAGGAGAAAATCAAATCTCTGAGGACGTGTTTCCTTATTTTTGGGTCCGTTTCTGCAGGTGGTTGTTCCGTTGGGTTTAATCCGGACCAGATTAGTATTTTTAATCTAATGGTTACAGATTCCTGTCGTTCAGGATGCGGAGCGGCGGGGCAATAATGCAGTTAGACCGATTTCAAAGACGCTTAATGGCTGCGGCTTATGACTGATGTTTCTATGGAAAAAAAGGCGTGATTGTGCTGAACAGCTTTAGAAGGTGGAGTCATTGGACTCTGTACCCAAATACCCCCCCACCCACCGACAAAGTGGACGGGGGCCCAGCCCACAGCAACCACAGCTGGGAGGTAGATAGTCGTCAGGTAGATGCGCCCTGCAGCTGTAGCATCCTTCCATAAAGGATGCTGCTGTAGAACAAACCAGTGTCCTGCTGGGATTATGACGGTCTGCCTGTCGATCATTGACAGAGGAGCTGTGTTGACTTTGTTACAGCAGCAGCAGCAGGAGGAAGTGCTGCTGTGGGTAAAGGGAAGAAAACTGGTCCTGCTCATCACTCCCTCTCTGGCAGTGTGCTGACCGCCCCACAGGTACGTTACCTGACCCTCACTCTGAGCGTTTAAACCTTTTCTGTTAGTGAATTTAACTCGTTTCATTTTCTTTTTTTTAATAGACCATATTTTATTTGATTATATTTAAATAATGCCTATTTTTTTATCTCCTTATTCCGTCTTTTTCTTCATGTCCCCTTTTACTTTGCATCGGGTGGTTATATGATGAAGGGATTAGTTGTTTTTAGCCACATGGATCATAAACGGAGCAGCAGAGCTCCTCATAAAGCTTTACATTCAGGGTCATAAAACCGCTCCTATGGCTGAACTTTATCAGTTAGCTTCATGCATGATGGAAC